TAAAGATCGTTATATATACATATATATGAAAAATTCTACTACATCCCCAAGAGTAAAAAAAAACTTTTTTTTTTTTTTTATTGGTATTAAACAATACAATAATGAAAAACGAGCCTCAGATTGTTGATTATTTTGTTCAAAACAAAGCCCTCTCATCATTAACCCCGAATTTAAGGAACTCGCTCGTCATTAATTTGACAAACTTTCTTTTTAATAAAAAACGTCATTAATTAAATGAGAGATTGATCTCTCGGAAACTAATTAATTGAATTGACCGAATCATTGTTAGTATATATTAATTGAATGAAAAAAGTCTAATCTTGATCTAAAATGTAAACAAGTCCGAATTCAATTTTTTAATTATTAATGAATTTGATTATCAATAATAATGTATTTAAAGTAAGCAACTTATTCTCTTTCTCAAGTCTGTATACAAAAAAATAATAATAATAAAAATAATGAAAAATAATTTTGTTGTCGTCATTTTACTCTTTCTTGCTATAATGGGTTTAGGATTTTCAGCACCACAAAAAAAGCGACAATATCTGATATCACTCAGATGAAATCGCTAGGGTTGCTAAACTTACTCAGGGTCAGGACCCAATAGCTTTAGTGGAAGATTTATCGCAATCATGTCAAACTGCATTACTTAGTATTCTTACCTCTTCAGAACTTATACAATGCATTCCAATTCCTGCTTTTTTACCACTTTTACCAATTTTAGTCGATCCTAGTGAAATTGCATCACTTATTTCCAATCCAAAGACTGGACTTCAAAAACTTCAACCTAACTTGATAGAATTCTCTAATGAGGGCACCCACTAAGAAACGTGATCAGTAGTGTAAAATCTAAAAAAGATATTGTTTAGTACAGGAAATTGTTTAATGATAGTGAAAGATAGTTTTGAGAGTAAAAACATGCCAGAAATTGTTGTTACGATTTAGTATAAATAAATGATATTAGATTAGTAAAAAAAGTAGTTAATTTTTAATTTTTTGAAATTTAAAAAATCCCACTTGCGTAACAATAATTTTTTTAAAAAAAACAAAGGGAAACAATTTTTTTTGTTAAAATCCCATTTGCGTAACAATTTTTTGTTAAAAATAAAGATATTTATTACTAATAAAAAGAATTATTAAATTTCCCACTTGCGTAACGAAAAAAAAATTTTTTGCCTTAGTACTAATGAAGAATTGTTAATTTCTCGCTTGCGTAACAATAATTTTTTTAAACAAATTTTTGCCTCCAGCGAATGAAAAATGAAAAAACAACTGATTTTTTGTTTTTTACCTTCAGAGAAATGAAAAAACTGATTGATTTTTT